AAATATGGCCATTTCCTTTATTTTCGTCTTGTACAGTTGCTCTTGTGGCAACCCCAAATCAAATATAAATTTTATGTTCAATCTCATCACTAAATCCCTGAAACAATGGGTTGATGTTTCAGCTGTTTTGCCTCCTTTGATTTTGATAGTTAAATGTAAGCTATAAAAGGGGCTTACAATATATCTTTTATGGATTGTTCATAAAGCTGACAACTGTTTACAAAAGCATTAGGCAGCTCATTTCAGTTTTATCAGCTTGTTTATTTTCTTTACTTTTGAAAGCTTTTTCACCATAACATATTAGCTGCCTTCACATACAAGAAACATTTTTTACTGAAGTGTCTTGGCCTTGATATTTAGCTCTTTTTGCTATTTTTGGCTATGGAGTGGTTGGAATTGTGAATGATGAGGACAAACACTTCAAATTTGGTTAGAGGCTGGAAGCATTAGTTACTTTGGATGATACCACATTAGCTGTTCAGAGCTGCCAAGAAAATTATTCGTCAAGGAAAGTTTATGGATATAGACTAGTGTCAGCTGCTGAAAAGTAGCTATTCATAGATAGACATCAACAGACATGCTCATCACTTGGAAACCCTCTGAAGTAAACAGAAGTCTAGTCAACATAGTCAATAGAGTCCACGGCACAAGTCATTTCATCCTAAGTAGGTATACAAAATAGATTAGATAAATCAGGCCCCTGAGATGCTCAGGTGGAGATATTTAAATTCTAAAGATCCATAGTTAGATAAGCTGAATTCATCAGTTAAGCCTAGAAGGGACTGATAAAACTCATACTTCTAAGGCCATTACTATTTGTTGTGGTACTGCCTTGGACCCATCATTCTCAAAAGTCATCCAGCCTTCATGTATGAAGGGATGGAGAACCCTAAACATCCATACGGAATTTGCTCCAAAACTGCTAATTGTATTCACTTTTTTTTTTTTAAATTTATCATTCCCATTATCATTATTCTCAAAGAGTATGGAAGTTCACATTTCTCATTTGAATTTCCAGCTCACAGCTAACAGCCATTGACCAAGGCTTTTACTTTTTTTTTATTACTAACAAGTAATTTTGTACCCAATAGCTGCTCTCTCAAGTGCTGAAATTTAAATAAGTTACCAAATTTAAATACATCGCTGCCAAACTTTGTTGATAGAGAGTGAAGTAGTTCCCTTTCTTGATTGTTAGTGCTGCTCTCTGGACTAGTTTTTGGTCCAATGTGAGAAGATGCTTAATCAGAGGAGAGTTACAAAAAGAAACCCATGGGGAGGGCTGAAGTACAGAATCACTTTATATCCACCAAGCCTGAAATCCTTCCCCTGGTGATGGATAACTCTGGAGACTTAAACGAGCAATTGTTTATGCCACACTTCACAAATAATGAAGTCTTGTAGATGGATATAACTGCTCTATTTGCAAAACATCAGAGTGAATGTTTTCCTGTCTCTAATCCCAATGCAAATAATACATGGAAATACATTTCACAGCTACTTTGTGGAATGTGATGCTATTACTTATTCAAATAAACTTGCAAAGTGGAAAGCAGAATAGATGCACTGTGTTGGGTTTGGAGAGAGCTAAGTGGAGAATATAACCCCAGGGGTGCAGAATGGCAAATCCAACCTTCAGAGAACTGCTGCGTGAGTCAGCTCCCAAACACTGTCCTTTCAGACAGAGCTGCTAACAGTCTTCATTCTGCCGAAGTGTGGGGAAGAAGAACCCTCCATTGCTTGTATTTACCCAAGGCCTCTGATATTAGTGTCCTCCACCAAGATGATGGCAACAAGCAGCCCTACCTTGTTCTCTCATTTTTTGTTAACATATCTTCCCAGGTCACGCCCAGATTGATGCTTTAGCTCAGATACTGACTACGTTTAACATCACACTTTGTCTCATACCTGTGTTAAGGAGGAAAGAGGGTTAAGTAACAGATCTGAGGTGAGGCAGTGACAACAGTCACCAGGCTGAGCCAGCGGCCATTGAGATAACTGGGCTGCTATTGATCTGAACAGGAATTAGATCAAGACTTTCTTAAACTGTGCTTTCTAGTCTGCTACATCAATCTACTTGCCAAGAGACCATTAAACAACATGTGGATACTACCTTCCCGATGCCACGTTATATCCTGGAAGCCTCATAAAAGGTTTTGCAGAAATACATTGGATGGAAACACGGAGGGGCAAGTCCCAGCTTCCTGGCAGAGCAATAAACTGGAAGCTGAACTTTAGCGTGGCCTAATGGAAAGTGAAGAAAATGAGCATGATTTTCCGAAAATATTCAGTCTGGAATAAACAGAGAGGGATTTAAAATCATCCCTTGGGGAATAGAGGTTGGAATTATGATGGATAGTCTGGGTCAAATAGATAGATAAAATAGTGATATAAGAGATAATCAGAAGGGCAGGCTAATACTCTGAAATGCTCCCATTCTTACATCACCTCAGAAGAAGAAAGACATAATTGGTGACTGTAAAAACCATGGTGAACCAACAGTTTGATCAGTTTTGGCTTCTATGCCAGGAACCAAGCAGCTCCACTGGGAGGAGGACAGGAGTAGGGGAGGGCAAAAAGGATGCACAGATTCCAGGCCAAAGATCATGAGGCTTTTTAGGATGCAGAAGAGGCCACTGATACAAAATCCAGGCTGCTCTCTGCAACGTAAGGTTAACTCAATGCCTCTTGAGATACTGCAGATGGGCGAACATCCACCTGGTCCAGTCTGTTGGGCAAAATGGACCATTCCAAAGTGCTCAAGACTCCCGCAAAATCACTGCCATGAGATACACATCACTCAGATTTACCCTCTGAAAAGCAGCTAAAGAGCAATATCTTCCATCCCTTCCTGTCTGCCCCAATGGGGAAATATGTCTTTAACGGGCGACTTGAAAGCACCGAGGTCACATGAATAAATGAAATAAGCAACTGTAAAGTGGCTATTATTAGCTGTGAGATGCAGTGATCAGCTAAAGGGCCATTCTCCTGTCATTTTATGATCTGCACTGAGCTTTATATAGCTATGTTGCAATGTTCACATTGCTGTACAAGTAATTGATGTAATTAACAACTTGTCTCCTTTCTTTTTTTTTCTTTTTTTTTAACACTGGCAATTATGTTCCATGAGGACTACTATATGAAACAAGAGATGAGAGTAGAATATTTCATGTCAAAGGAAAAGAAAAAAAAAAAAAGAAAAAGAAAAGAAAAAGCACAAAAAAAATCTTCAGGTATGTTTTAATAGCTTATGTCTGTGAGCAAGAGACTGGAAAGGCTTGACTATAGGTTGGGGGCTTTTTAACCCATTAAACTCTTTCCCTAAAAACCAACAGGGGCTAATAAGATTAAACAGCTGGAATTAGGGAATTGTCTCTCCTGCATATAGGGAAAGCAAGATTTCTTCTTTTTGCCTTTCTACTTGTAAGATCACAAGCTGTCCATGTGACTGAGCTTGAAAATATCACAAGTTCAGGGAGAAAGGAGAAACAAGGAAGTCGTTATTTTTCTTCTCATTAATGTTATTTATGGTATGGGACCCGTTTGGGGTTTTGCACTAAAGTAAGCTTCTCCCCGTGGTTTCTTTCAAGTCAAAACCAGAACATTTTCCCTTGATACGAAATGAAATGTTGAACGTTGTTCTGGAAACAGGAGGGATTTTTACATTTGCATAAAATGTGCAGGTACATTTGGCCTTGAGCTGCTCTTCTGAAATGAGAAATTCCAAAATGTTATGTCACCGGCATGGACCTTGGTGCTTTTTTTTTTTTTTTTTTATCCTATGGTGACTGCAGAAGGTTTCACTGAATCAGGTCAGGATTTGCCAGCTTTGGTGGTCCACATAACTCCTACCAAGCAAATGGCTATTTCAGAGAAAGTCAAATTCTCCACTTCTCCAAGCAACCTTTCTGATCCCTCTTTCCAGTCTCACCCCATCCTGCCTGGGGCATCTCCTGTGGCCTCATTGAGTCTGACACCTGCTCTGCCCGGCACCTTCCCTGGGGTCCTTGCTCTGGAGTGGAAGGAAACCTGCAGGGATTGTGCTGGTTGGTGGGTGCAAAGCGCAAAATCAAGTTTGCTGCCTCAGTTTCCCTACATCCTGTAGTAATGAGTTGGAAAGGGGAAGAAAAAAATGAAAAGGTGGTTAAAAGAGGAAAAAGAAACAATGGAAGAATAAAGAAAAGAATGAGGGGAAGGAATAGAGCAAAAGAAAAGAAAGAGGAAATGGAAAATGGAAAAAGAGGCAGAAGGAAAATGGGGGGAAAAAAGCAAAAATGGAAAAAGTAGGGAAAAGAGAAAGTAGGGGGGGAAAAGAGGAAAAGGGAACATAAGGAAAAGAAAGAAAAAAGAAATAACAGAATGAGAAAGAAGGGGAAAGGGACTAAAGGGGAAAATGGGGGAATAGGAAAAAAAAGGCATATGGAGGGAAGAAAGAAGGAAGAAAGGGCAAAAGGAAAGCTGGAGGGGGAGAGAGGGAAAGAAAGTAGGAGGAAAGGGGGAAATAGAGAAGTAGAGGCTGAGAAATCAAAGAAGGAAAAAAACGGCCATAGAACAAAGGAAGAAAAAAATGGGGAAAGGGAGGAATGAAGAACAAAGGGGGAAAGAAAAAGTAAAATGGAAAGAGGAAAGGAGAAAGGGGACAAAAATAAAAGGAAGGAAGGAGAAAAGAGGGCAAAGGAGAAACAATAAAGGGAGCAAAAGAGGGGGAAATGGAGAAAAGGAAGGAGAAAAATGGGTATGGGGGAAAGGGGAATAATGAGAAAAAAAAAGAAAGCGGGGGGAGGAGGGAAGAAAGGAGGTGACGGGGGCGGGCAGGAGAGCGGCGGGGCCGCCGCGCACCTGGGGCGGGACGGGGCGGAGCGCGGCGCGGAGCGGAGCGAAGCGGAGCGGGGAGGGAGGCGCGGGGCGAAGCCGCGCGGAGCGGCGCGGGCAGCGGCGCCGCCTCCTGCTCCTGCTGCTGCCGCTGCCGCCCTCGATGCGCGCAGCGCTGGCACCGGCATCAGCACCGGTACCGGCACCGGCACCATGGGGCCCGCCGTCCTGCGCGTCCTGGTGCCGCTGCTCGGCTGTCTGCTCTCCGCGGTGAGTGTCCCCGCGCCGCGCACCCCCTTCCGCGGCGGGCCAACTTCGGGCAACTTCGCGAGCGCGGTGGGTGACAGACAGGTGAATCTCTGCATGTCAGGCTCTTATTTCTATTTCTATATTTTAAAGTCTTTCCCTCGGCTGATTTAGAAAACAATGATACTTCATTATTATTATTATTATTATTTATTTTTTTTTCTCCTCAAGATCTATACTTCCCCTTAAAGAGAGAGGCAGTCTCTGGAGCTAGTGGCCACCTCGGCTTTGCTAGTTACTTTTTTCAGGATTCCCACTCTCTCCCTTCCCATTATTTTTTGTGGTCAGCTTTCAATTTTTTTTTTCTGTTGTAGGAGCGCGGTGGTTTTCCTATAAATCTCCCTCTCCTTGCTTGGGGTAGGAATGAGGGGATGCAGCATCTCAGAGGAATTGCAGGTGGTGCCAGGACAGGGGACACCCGGATGGATGTGCGCTCTCGGTTTGGAGAGGAGTTTCCCCAAAAAAGTTCTGCAAAACACGGGACTCTCTTGGCAACGTAAAACTCACGTGGCCACAATGTCCCAGGAAAGCGCAGGAGCCAGAAGCCAAGGATGTGTTTTTTGGAGCCCCTTCCTCTCGCGATTCCCATGCTCACAGTTTCCTGATTGGGGCAGTGCGGTTTCCTCCCCGCTTTCCCAGTCGCTGATGATGTGCAGTGCAGAATGAGCAAATGTGGTGGTTTCCCCCAGCGATGTGTCCGCGTGCACACACACACCCATGTGTGCAAAGGCTCGTTTTCTCTGCAAACAGCACGGGCGTGGGGTTGGCTCCCGAACGCTTTGCCGAAGCGCTTGGTTCTTGCAGCTCCTGGATCCCAGCTCCCTTTAACCAGTTGCGGGAGGTTTTGGGAGCTGGATAAGGCCGAGCCTCCCTCCCCTAAGCCTGTCCTACGTTTACTTTCTCCCTTCAGCAGGCGAGGTTGCCTCATCAGCATCCTGCTGGGCTGGGTGAGGTTGCCTGCATGGAGCAGGTTGTGCCATCGGCTGCGATTGCTTCTGTTTGAGCCAGTGGCCAGGACTTCCTTGCCCTCATCTACCCCCTTCTCTGGTCAGAGGACCAAACTGAGCCTCCGAGCATGAAAAGCAGTGCAGAGCATGAAATGCACCCCTGTAGCACCCCTGTGTCTCCCCTTAGGAAATAAGGGATGCGTCTTTGCTTTTAATTTTTATGCCTCTTGGTCTGTTTGGTCACCCAACCATCTGCATCGCCCAAGATGTTGCTTGAGGAAGAGAAGCCAGGGCAAATGGGTTAAAGTATCCCCACAAATGACCAGAGTGTTCAGTTCTAGCAGTTCCCCAGGCTGTGCTTTTAAGGAAGATGCAAAATAGCTCAAGTCAAGGAAATGAGAAGAAGGAGGTAGAGTTTCTCATCAGCTTGCTGGACCCACTCCAGGTCCCAATTCCACTGAAACCCATGGCAAAAGTCCCGTCTCCTTAAATATTGTTGGCAGGACGAGGTCCTTTGGGGCCAGCTCCTGCAGCGAGTTAGTCACCAGCTCTGGTGCAGCAGGGTCCAGACCGTACAGTGCAAGGCGCTAGGATTGATAGTATCCATAAGCACAGATCCCCCCAAGCTATGGAAAAGCCACATCCCATGGGTCCCATTGCAACCCTGACCTCCCCATACTCTTTTGCAGCTTTATCTCACTTTCTTCCTCAGCTTCAGCAGAGCCCCGGGTTGCTTTCACATTATGTTAATGTCACTGGGACCTGGCTTATGCCAGTAGGTTAGAAAGACTCGCACGATAAGCATCTGCAAGGTGACTAATACCCGAGAGTGTAAAGTTTCCATAATAATGCTGCAGCGCTGGAGAGAATCCCTCTTGTCTTCTCTTTTGGTGGGAGCCTGGGAATTGCTGTTCACTTTTAAAGCAAAAGTAACCCTGCCAGCGTAACAGCCTGCCTCTGGGATCAAAGATTACCCAGTGATTTTTTTTTCTTATAATTTATTGGGATTAATTTTTATCGGCATGTCCTTGGGAAGGCCTGGGTCAGCAAGGATTGGCTGATGCAGAAGTTTGGTGCTATAAAGCTGTTGCAGCCAGGTGGTTTTTAATTGCTGTTATAAACTTTCACCCTGTGATCCATACATAGAAAGAAAAAGGAAATCAGGCAAATCTTATTTACTGTGATTCCTCAGGCCACATCCATAGGATTTCACTCACTTCAGCATTTCAAAAAGTGGTGGATTTGTCTTGTTTTGGTGTGCATAGAGGATCATGCCTACTACGTACTTCATGCATGCGACTAAAATAAGAATCTGGGACAGGAAGCTACAAAAAGCAGGTTTTTTTTTTTTTTTTTTTTTTTTTTTTTGGTATGTGTCCGGTAAGTGAGATGTGGATAATTCAAAGCAATTGGTGGATTCCACAGGCAGAAAACACATTGAATTAGTCAAATCTGTCCAGCTGGTGTGATTTGTGCTTTTTCTTCAGAGTTTTATTCCACTCGAGCTATGGAGTATAAGCATGAGGGAAAGGAATATGCACAGTCTGGTTCTTTAGCAGCCTGAGTGTGAAATGCTAGAAAGAGGATCCCTTTAATATAATTTATTAAACTTAGGCTAATAGGGTGACCCCTCCAACCACATCTGTTTCGTTCTCATCCTGCCATGGCTGAGAATCTCAAAATTGCAATAAATGCATTAAAGTGAAAATAATCCATGCTTTTGGGGGACAGTTGCATGGTTTTAAAGCACGAAAACCCTCTAACATCAGTTTTGCACGCAGTCTGAATTTCCTATAGCAGCGACAATGTGTGTTTAAATAAAATGCCTCATCACAAAACCTCAGTGTATTATTGGGTTTCTGTGTCATTAATATTTATGCATGTACAGTGTGTGGGTGGTCTTTTAAAAAGGCACTTAAGAGAACCAGTTGCCTAGCTGCTTTTAACCATTTTTTTTGAGTAACTCTGGAAGTCTCCTTGTTTCTGTATTGGAAACCTTTGGAAGAAGGTTTTCACTAGGAAAAATGCTTTAGAAGCTGGGTTATAGCAAACCAAGAGGACACATAGGCAGAAATATGGTGTCTGAAAAATATCCTACGTGGAATATTTAAGGATACATACTGCACAGCATGTTCCTCCAGCCTACCAGCATCTTAGCCATCCTGTTCACACCATCACTATCACACCATCCCTGGAAGCTCCAGCACTAAAACTTTGGAGAACCAAGCAAAAAAGGGAACCATGATGACTCATAGAAAGGAAGGATTTCTTCAAGGTGCTTTTGAGAGAGAGAAGGGTGGTTGACAAATGTTTGTCCTCAGAAGTCAAATGGGTCTGTGGACAGAGAGCATGAGCTCGCTTGTTGATTAGGAGGTTGGCAGAGTTGGTCTTTGTTTGTTTGTTTGTTTGTTTGCTTTATATAATGGGCTAAAAAATACTCTTAATTTGAGATGAACCTTCAGAAGGTCCAAATGCTTTTGTTGGTATCAATAGCCGTGTAGCAAGCAGACAGCTACCTTGAATAGAAACGCAGTCAAAGGAGGATGTGGCTTCTTTTTGTGCCAGATCTGGCCAATGTTGGCTTGTGAGGCTTCCATGAAAAATGTCTCCCCGTCCAGCAGAGAGTGTCCCATTCCTTTGGTCCATCTGAGGAAGGGCAGCAGACACTACATCGGTTAATGAGACTCAAGAAAAGATTTGTATGTCAGATCTGAATAGGGAGATGAGTCGCGCCGTGAATAAGATCAGTGGCTGAAATTCAGGAAAGGAGCCGAATTAACCAGGCAAATTAAAAATAGATACTGAAGTTTTCATAATGGCGGGATTTGGTCACATCCTGCTTTCAGACCAAGTGTAGTAGTGCAGTTTATTTGCTGTGAGCGAGATCCTCAGCCTAAGAACAGAAGGAAGGACGAACAGAACCATGGGTGCCTGGAGCAGGAGAAAGGATGGAGCTGATGTCCGGCAGGTGGATGGAGAAGAGCTGTGCAAGCAGGCAGGGGAGTCACCTCCTGTTCCCTAAGTGAGACTTACTGAGTCCACCTGTGCCCTGTGGAGGTCCATCCTCCTGCCCAGCGTGGTCTAGCAGGGCTTCCTTCAATGAATGCTGAGAACTTTCTGTTTCCCTGCACTGTTCCCTCCCACTAGAGTCCTGGGAGCTCCGGACTCACAGATGTTTTTTCAGGAGTCACGAGCTCCCACAGCTTCATTTGGGTGGGAACAGAGCCAAGGGAGGAGATGCTTGTGCAATTCCAGAGGACTGCAGCAGAAACACGACCAGCCCCTTTATTTTGAGGTATTAAAGGCCAGGAAAGCATCTTGACCTCTCTTCAGAGCTTAACAAGGAGCTACAGTTGTGTCCGTGAGGTCCCGTGCCGGGGTCGGGAAGCTGCCCACCAGCTGGACCATCCTCTGGTCATCCTTCTCTTTTCTAGCTTGGCAGGACGCCTGCACCGACAGAGATCCCTCAGGGATGATTCATCTCTCTGGGCATGAGCTTCACCTCCTGCATTACAAGACCAGTAATGCAGGGAGAATTCCTTTCTTACCAGGCACGAAGTGCCTTGGAGACAGTTTGAAACTCAAGTGGCATCCCCCAAACCGTTGGGTTGTTCCTTAAGTCATTATACAGCCCTTTTATGTGCTCCGTAGCATAATGCCAGACTTCAGCAGCACTGAGTTATTTTTCCTTAAGTAAACCTGAAGACTTCTGCAGATGTTAAGTGGAAGCACCAAGTTTCCCACTGATAAGGATGCTATTAATAAAGCACCAGAATTTGCTCCTCCCGAAAAAACTTCAGCCTCACTAAAAGCATCTGCTGGCCCATTAGCTGTGTTACAAATCACTTTTAAACCGCTTAGCCTCATACATAAACCCTAATGCAGGAAGAGAGAGAGAATAGCAAGAGCAATTAAGCTTAATAAGTGACGATCCATGCTCGTATAAATGGCCTGTCCGAGCATGGTTTGAGCAGCTGGAAGCAAGCCGGCAGGGTAAACAGGTGAAATATTCCTTGG